GATGTCGTCTGTTGTTGAGGATGTTTTCTGCGATGTATCTAGATGTCGTCTGTTGTTGAGGATGTTTTCTGCGATGTATTTAGATGTCGTTACGATTTTGATGAACTGCGTTGGTAGACCCGTGGTTTTACACGGATGCTATAGACGGCGTGGAGCTTGGTTTTGTATTTTGATTCGATTGCGGTACTAATTTCGTCAGTGGTGATTGAAGGGTAAACGCCTCTTAGGAATACCGATAGTAGATTACTGAAGCTTCGAGGGGTGGTGCATTGAACTATTGAAGGGTAAACGCCTCTTAGGAATACCGATAGTAGATTACTGAAGCTTCGAGGGGTGGTGCATTGAACTATTGAAGGGTAAACGCCTCTTAGGAATACCGATAGTAGATTACTGAAGCTTCGAGGGGTGGTGCATTGAACTATTGAAGGGTAAACGCCTCTTAGGAATACCGATAGTAGATTACTGAAGCTTCGAGGGGTGGTGCATTGAACTGGTAGGACAGAGTTCCATGGGCTGCACAGATAATTAAAATCGGATTCGGTTAAGGGCTGGAGGAAGATGCCGCCTCTGCGTTAAAATTCTCGTTTTGGTTGGGTCGAAGAATGCCTCACGTTTAAATTCTTCGATGAAAGCTACGATTTGGCTCGGGGAGAAGTCGATGGGTAAATCGTCGAGAATTATCGTCAAGACCGTTGAGAAAGCCGTGGGTGGGGGCTTGGATGGAAAGAAAGAGTTATTGTAAAACTGTGTAGTTTAATATACTGTATAACGACACCTGCTTTGAAGAGATTTGGCGACATCTATTGCTGGCCTCTATTTATACTTATGGAATGATCAAATATGACTTCGGTAATACATGTACTATTGTTTCGCTATATAGTTGCCAACTTTCTCACTCTGTCAGTCAGATTTTCTTCTTATACAGAACTCCCTTCCGATCGTAGAGAGTAGTACTGTCAATCATCCTGTGTACCTTCAACATTTCATTTGTATTGAAATAAATAAAGACTGATTTAACTTTGTTTCACATTGTGTTCAATCTCTTTCTTCAACTCAGTCAACATTTAGTTGTAATTCCACATAATATTTCCTGCATGTTCCTCCTGTTACTGTTCTTACCTCTATGGTAATCACAGCAGGCCAGAGAAATAGAAAATTACCAGAAACTTAGATGGCCATAAACATGATAAGATATTCACAGAAGTTTCATAACAGTAATACGAAAAATAGTACAGAAAAAAATAATATAAAACCAGGTGCATGGCTAGAAACATAGGGATGTATTTTAAAAGTGTGGAAGAA